CTTGCTGAAAACTGGGGCTGTGCTCGGCACATGGCACCAGGACCGTGGGTGTGGAGGAGTCCCTCAGCCAGCACCCTGCACAGAGAAAGGGTCTGGGGAGATGGTGCCTGCTGCCTTCTGCCTCTGCCAGCCGCTGCCTGGGCAGCTGCCAGCCTCAGCGCAGGAGCAGCTCTGGCCCTGGCTTTGCTCCTGAGGGAACATGCATGAGCAAGGCTAGGTGCTGGAAAGGGCTGGGACAGCCTGGGTAGGCTGCCTGTGCTGCAGGATTGGGTCCTGCTCCTGCTGTGGGTAATATTTAGAAACAAATTAAATTATTTGGGACAGCATTTCCACTGGTCTCAATCAAATTCGCTGCAGTTGTGGTCTAAACCTCTTCTAAAGGTTTGTGATGGCAAATATGTCAGTTAAATTGTCCCTTTGGCAGCATGCTGGGACCCATGTCCTTTCTCGACCCATGGTCCCCCACACTGGGGTCTCCTGGGGCGCTGTCCTGCAAGGTGGGGCAGCAGGAGCTGAGTTTTGCATCTGGAAGGTGCTGTGTGATGGCAAGCGCTCCGCATGACCAGCTTCTTGCTGTCTGAAAGTGTGCTTTCTGCCTTTAAATCAGGGGTAGTTCCTGCTTAAGGCACAGAGATGCTCCCATAATAAACATCATCTCTTTTTGAAGTTCTTGAGTGTTGTAGGGAAGTCCGACAGAAAAAACATAGCTTCCCCACGGGGGAGAAGGGGCGGGGAGAAGGGGCTGGGACAGGTCGCACAGGCTGCCTCACCGTGAGCGCTGCTCAGGTCCCTATGGAGTCCTGCAGGTGCCCCCAGGGTGCTGAGCACCCACAGCCTGGCAGAGGGAACGGTCGGGGTGCTGGCAGTCATCCCAGCCTTGGTGGCCTTCTCCCACGGCTGGGCCTGCAGCAGCCCCGGGTGCAGGTGACCAGGCTGCAGTGGAGGGTGGCAGCATCCCACTGCTGGCCCGAGCCCTGGGGACTGGGTGCTGCTGTCCCCAGGGGCTTGGTGCTGCCAAGCTGAGGCTGACCCTCAGTGCCCAGCCAGCCCTGAGCCCCCCCAGCCCCACCGCCTGTGCTGCTGCAAGCAGTGTTGGGGCGAGTGGCAGTGCTGAAGGCAGCCCCGGCTCCATGCTCCCAGCCTCTCTGCTCAACGCCACCGCGGGCAGGAAGAGGGTAGACAGAGAACCCCAGGCAGCAGCATTGCCCACATGGTCATGGCACCAATGCCCCACTGGCTCCTGAATGTGGCTGTTGTGGCTGTGCCCGGGAGCATGGTGGTGCCAGCATGGCCCCCACCCCTCTTGCACTGCCTGTGCCAGGACTGTGCACATCTGCAGGGCTCAGCTGCAGCAGTGCTGTGCCCCTGGGGTCGCTGGTTTCCCTGCCAGCCCCATCTCCCTCGGGGCATCTCCCAGACCTTTTTACCCCAGTAATGAGTTTGCAGCCCCATGCAGGGGACTTGGAGCCTTCCCAGCTCGGCTGCAAGCCAAGAGACCGAGGGGCTTCCTGCTCTTCCCTGAGCATGTCCTGCCCTGGGAACATGGAGGGGCTTGTTCCTCCCTCCTCCGTGTTTCACACTGCTGGGGCAGGAGCAATGCTACAGGGATGGGCTCAGTGGGCCCTTGCTGGGACGGGGCCCATGGGTGCTTGGGTTTCCTCTGTGCCCGTGCTGAGCCTTGTCTCCCTGCCGAGGCGCGGGGACGGGTGGTGCCGGGGAGCCCGTTGGCACCTGCAGCAGATGGGGCAGGAGGGAGAGCATGCAGTGGGGCTGAGTCATGCTGGGACCAGGGAAAGGGGGCAGTGGCTGGGATCCCAAAGCAGGGTGGCAGGAGAAGCCGGGCCATGATGGGAAGAGGGAGATGGTCCCTGGGGGCTTGCCAGATCCCTTTGCCGGGGCTCTGCCACCACAGCACTCCTGTGTCATGCTCTCACCTGCTTCAGCTGAAAGTTAGGGTCCCTGGATCAGGCTCCTTGCCCATCATCAGAAGGTTTGACCTGGAGCTTAATATGCAAAAGTAGGGCTGGCTGGGAGAGGCAGGATGAATTCCCAGCATGCACCCTTAAACAATCCCCATCATTTCCTCAGGGATCAGTGCTTCCAGGTGCAGGGAAATAATAGTTTGGAAGAAAGTTTAGAAACCTCGAGTGAAAAACTCAACATGTTTTTGGCCCAAAGTGATGGTTGTCATTTTAGAGATTTCACACTGATTAAAAAATTCACACACTGAGATCCAAATGGAAGCGGTTGGGAATGATCCACGCAGGGACTGGAGCTGGGAACATGCAACTGCTTGAATTTGCAGTGGAAAAACAGCAGCCCTGTTTCCTCTGTGGAAAAAAATAAACCACTAGTGACCTTTGAAATCTTCTCGTGCCCTCGGCTGAGCACTAGGGTCTGTTAGGAGAAGCTGAGCTTATGTTTCTCAGGGACCAGTGGCAGGTTGTCCTGCCTGTTCTGGCCAGGAGAGCGTGGCCCTGGGGCAGGGGAGTGAAATCCTGTCTCTTTTGGTGTGAACCAAGTCCCTCTGCGGTGACCACACAGAGCTTGTACAGCCAGCGCAGCGCAGCCAGGCTGAGCCCGGCTGCAGGAGGTGCAGGCTGACTCACTCTGCCTGTCCCTTCCCTTGGCTCCTGTCTGTCCACTCCCACCTCCGGGAGCCAGTTTTAGCAGTTTTTCTGGGTAAGGTTTCACATCTCCCCATTGTGCTGAGGACACCTGAAAGGCAGAGGTGGGACATGAGCTGTGGTGTGAGATGTGTTTTCTTTGTAAAAGAAAGTCAGCAAGTTTGTGGATGACACCAAGCTGAGTGGTGCAGTTGATTCGCCAGAGGGAAGGGATGCCGTCCAGAGGGACCTGGACAGGCTGGAGAAGTGGGCCC